ATGCAAAATATATCAACATATTTTGGTTATCAGTTTAGAGTTCTCAATTAGGCTTTTTTCCCCGGTTTGCAGCTGACTTGGTCGTTGTTTACTCTTAATTATTTTTAAAAGCATATATATATGTACATAAAGCGCGCAATACTAAATCCACTTGTACTACATTTACCGTATACTATACCTAAATATGAAACTGTTTTCAAAACCCCTTACCGCTGAGATTTCTGCTAATTATCGATTCTTTCTTGTTAATATATAAAGGCTTTTTTCCGGAGACATCGAAAAAGTAATGTGCATGACGTTATTGTCAGTTAATCACGGCGTTCATTCGTATAACAGCAACAACAAAAACCCTTTTTAAAGTGCCTATCACCCTTCTGACAATATTCTCAGTATTGATTCTACATGGGGTAAGATGTTGAATAACCCGAAAAAATTGTATAGTTTAAGTGCAGCTTCTTGAAATTTTTAAAGGTTTTTCCATGCCATATGCTGATGCTGTGACGTAGAAGGCATTTATGGTTGTACCTGGTTATTCGAAACACCGACTTCTATGTGAAAACTAACTTGCAATCATTTCTATAAGAGCAATGGGAAAACAATGACGAATTTTAAATTTAATTTATCTGTGCCAGTAATGTTTTGTATATTAAATGATTACTCCTCATACGTCACAGCATTAGCAAATGGCATGGAAAAACCTTTAAAACTTCAAGAAGCTGCACTTAAACTATACAATCTTTTTAGTGCTATTCAACATCTTATTCCATGTAGAATTAATACTGTGAATATTGTCAGAAGGGTGATAGGCACTTTAAGGGGCTGACTACTTTGGCGTAAATGATAAACCGAAAATTGCAAATATGCAAAGAAAAATGGGGTGTCCCGAGCTTGTTTTTGAGATAATCACTCCGGAATGACATGCGTTTGTACAATTTTGGAAGAAAAATAGCGAACATCAAGCTCTAGGTACACTAAAAAAAAAAGAAAAGAAAAAGAAATCATAAAACTCCAAACACGTAACTTACACTATATTTATAAAATACCGTTAAAAGTTGTTTTAATAAACTATTGTAGACATTGGAAAAACTTTTATTGTTCAAGTTCTACGGTGTGCAAGTTATCGTAAAAATTGAGCACAAAACAAACAGAACGATTCTTTACATTGTTCTGATAAAAAGAATTGTCTTAAACTTTGGAAAAAAATGGGATATCACCAGTTATTCTGGGAAATAACAAAAAAATATAGAATCCCGTGCACAATTTGAGGGTTTTGCCCTCTTGAAGCTCAAAACGTGTATAGTTCTTCAATAAAATCGTCAAGAGTATTCAGCGGTTTTTGAGCGCACTACGCACATCGTGAGTTCAAATCGAATATCGAAAAGCAGTCAGCCACCTTAAGTGCTAATTATCAAAACTTCACCATACCAATTATGAGAATAAGTATTTTGAACATACGCTCACCGCTCCTAATCATTAAGTAATGGCTAAATCTCCTTGACCCATAATGCACCTGCTATGGTTGATTAAGTAACTAATGAGTCAATAATTTATTATGCAGGAAAAGAAGTTTCCTTGTTTTTATTGTGTTATTTAATATACGTAGAGCAGTTGTATGGGAAAAACATTAACAAAATATAGATCCAACCCAACTTTGTCAGCAAATTCATCGTTGGCATAGTTGGTAACGCTCTAGACTCTTACGCCAAGGGTGTCAGGTTCGAAACATGATAAGTCCAAGGTAAAAAGAAGAGAAAAAGGTAATTACGTAAGTAGATAGTAGATAGAAGTATGAAAAGTAAGCAATAGAGGGGAGAGAGATATTGAAACACTAGCGATGAAAATATTTCAAACATTTCATTAGGTATCAAAACCCATTCACGTGACCCGAAAAGTGCTCATGCATTGGTTGCTAAGATTATGAATTATTTATTATTCATTGGTCAATGACCAATGGCGACTTTGTATTGTAGTCACGTGCACGCAGCTTCAGACACTTGATCAAAAACAGAAAAAGACACTGATCAAAAAACTGACCCCTTTTTTTAGTCTCAGTAGATTCAAGAACAAATATAAATTACGATGAGACTGAGAAGTAAGTTTGAAAACTCGTTCTTCTTGTTTGATCAGCGCATCCAAACACCGAGAAACAGATGAAAGCACGAGGCCGTTTGGCCGACCAAACACTCGCACTCGTTTTTGATCTATTACTTCAAAGCGGCATCTTATGTACATATATTCTTTTAGATTGCTAGACCATGAACAGTTAGTTAAAACAGTTGTCCGTACCAAGTCAACAGTGTATATTCTTTTGTGAAACAAACTAAACAAAATGGCTTTCATGAATCCGACGAAAACAACTGAAAATAATCCGAGGCTATCGAACTAATCACTGATCAAGAAATTAATAAAAGCAAGAGGAAAGCATTATTGACATTTTCTTTTTAATAAAACCCTACACGGGGAGAGGTCTTTCAACAAACAAACAAGTGTAATATTAAATGTGACGATGGGCCTCAATGGCATGATCTTAGTCTATGGCTAACGGCTAGAATTTTGGCTTTTTTATACGGTTTACGGTAAATTTTCGCGCATTACGATCAATGRCAATCGCAATAGCCCTTATTCGTCTTGGTGCAATGTTTTCCCATTACATACCACTTGTCATACCCTAGAATATTTGGTTTTTTTTAACGGTTGTCAGTATTTGAAGACACATGAATATGAATCGAACCCGAAATGAGAATCGTATTCTCAAGAGAATAGCATCTGGTCTGAAATGTGAAAACATTGCACTACACGGATAAGGTCTTTTTTGAGTTAATCAAAACTAACTTCAAGCACTATGATAAGTCGGCAATTAAGGACCGATAACTATGTTGTTTTTACACAAAAAACCGGCTGTTTTAAAAGAAAAATCTACGAGGTAAAAGAGTGGCCAAATTATGCATATAAATGGGCCATAGGGTGGACAGCGTGGACAGGTTGTCAAAACAATCGATGAAAAACTATAGCTACTTTGTACACTTTTATAAGAGACTGGTTTCAAACCAAAAAAAAAATTATCATGGTTAACTTTTTTTCAAAATAGCCCTGTCAATAGCAGTTTTACTGTCATGCTAATGACGTTTGCTAATATTATAATGGGCTGCGTAGTTTTATCCTGAGAAAACTGTCTGAGTAATCATTTTTAAACATAGTAGAGATACCTGCTAGCAAAATAAGTATTTTGAGAGGATAACTAAGCTGTTGTACTATGCGTAATGTGAATAAAATCGCTCGAATTCCCTTGTGTTAATTTAACAGTTGTGTCGGTTTTCCATTAGTTTTTGCGAGTGAGTTATTGAGCTATTTTTTCAAAATTAATTTCCTTGTTTTAATTGTTTTCGCAAGTTCTTAACTGGTTTTCACAGTATTTCTATTTAGTCTGCTCTACACAGCTTATTAGGAATATTAATAGACCTCATTACCATGTCAAATGGTGATATACGAATTGACTCTAATAATGAATATTAGTACGAATTCAGTGGCGGTTCCAGGACTTTAAGAGGGGGGAGGGGGGTTCATTTTTGCAAGTCTCGGCACAACAATAACGTTCTCTTGCATCATCATTTTACCCATGAGGCACATCAATGGCCTAGGGGCGCTCCTGATAATGATAACCTATCCACCAGTCCAGGCCCGATTATTGTGGGCGAAGGTGCTAATTTTCAAAAAGCAGACTTACCATACTTTTATTTATTTATTTTTTTTAAATATAAAAAATCCAAGGTACCAGCCGGTGAAGGGGTGGGGGGTTCATTTGCACCCAATGAACCCCCCTAAATCCGCCACAGGAATTTTATACATGAATATAGAGTTTCTCGCTCTGTGATTGGTCGAGCGACCGGTAATTCTGAGACGATAATCATCGCTGGAGCAGTGATTATGAGGTTTGCCAAAGTTTTCCAGATCGGAAGTAATACTAAAACCTTTATTTTATCCTGAATTTCAAATTTTCTCTGATATTCAAGTCTAAGATTATTCTACAGTTATTGCACTCRGGCTCAGTGATAATTATAATGATATTTACCTCCTGGCTCGGTAAATACTCGGCGAATAATTATGGACCGAGTGTTTCATAAGACGGTTTGCTGATTCGGAATAAATCATTCTTTGTATTCCAAACTGGAATTAAAACTTGGTTACTATGAAACAGTATTTGTCTTTCAAGTTTTAAACTCGTAATATCTGGCACTTGAGAAGGATACGATTAACCGGCAGTTCCGCCATAAAGAATGTCAGGAATATACTATATTTTAGATTGTATGCCGATAACCAAAGGTCTTTCTTCTTCTCTTTGTTTGCTCATCCTTCTCTTCCCGCTTCCCATCATCATCATATTCATTATTATGACTACACATATATCGGGTGCATCAGAGTAATCTATGAAACAGTGGCTAATAATAATAAATTTAAAATGTTTTAACTTCCCTGCCGTCAAAATATTCATATGCCTTCATAATTACACACTATTTCTGCTAATATATATAGAGAGTTCTCCGTCTCTAGCCTAATGTATTAATGATTCGTATATTTACTTTAATACTAATGTAGATATTATTTCTGACATCTCTCAAGACAACAATTACATGTTTGTTTTAAAGGGTTTAGGCCCCGTCACTCGTATCCGGATATTAGCTTTTGAAAACGGAACTTTTTTTTGCGGAATGGACATCCGTCCACACGTATCCGTTGAAAATGTCACTTGAAAACGCAACTCAGTTTTGAAAAAACGGATACTTGTGGAAAGCCGAAAACGATTTGAATTATAATACTGGACGCAAAGTGTGGACAAGAATTTGAAAAAAATAGTTCAAATCCATTTTCAAAAGCATTCGGGTACGTGTGAGGGGTTTAATTAGGTTGTAATTATAGAGTGGTAGCTTTTTTTAATTCATGATAATCCAAACTTATTTGACAGTATTGTGTATTTTTGTCATTGATGTTTTCAGTGCACATTATAAAGCCCAACTCTTTGTATATTTTTGTCATTGGTGTTTTCAGTGTACGTAAATTATAAAGCCCAACTCTCCCAGCTGTTAGTACAGGTGATATTGCACGCATGCCTGATATGTTCTACTGCAGTGGTACATTGCGGATACRTCGGATGGAAGGAATAAAGGTATTCTAAGATGATAACATTATATATCACAAGTAACATAATCCGCCTAGATCCTCTGATGGTATGGTGCTTTAATACGGTTTCAGTTGTAGGTATTTGTTTTTGAAAAAAAAAATGCTAGTCTCCTCGGCGATTCTGGATGTTGCATCTTAAGTTTTCCATGGTCGAAGTGCTAATTTTCGACAACAAACAAAAAAAAAAAAAAAATTAATAGTATATATATTTTTATCCGTTAGTTATTATCAACTAAATTTCAAACATAACTGTACTAATATTTTTTATGATGATGGTAATATAGCATTAACAACAACAATATGATACTGAATAGTGGTGGTGATGACATTGATAATGATAATGGTGATAATGGTGATGAGCGAGCGGATTAATTAAGGGGACAACAAGGAACCTCTGGGCGCGGTTGTTCAAACCCCCGATTAAACTAACCTCGAATTAGGTCTAAGCCGGGTTTAAATTCTCTAATCGCGGTTTAGTTAATCTGTGGTTTAAATATCGTTGTTCAAAGCTAGATTAGAGGGTCGATTAACTAACCCCCGCCGATTACTCGACTTAATCTACGATTAACATCCCAAAATGCACTAGTGTTTATGTTATTTTCAAGATGGCGGCTTTACCCGATGAAGTTAAAATAAAAACGAAGTAAACGTTGTAATGAAAAAAGGACGCAAAAATTGATTTTATTGCATTGGGCTGCTGTCTTAGCCAAAAAAGTTGAGGAGAGTTCAGAGGTTTTGCAAAGTAAGTTTACGAAATTTTTAAGCATCGTCTTGTCTTTCGCTCCAGATACTCGTAAATCAGATTTTTCATGTGAAAAGATGGCTTCTCTTCCGAATCTGTATTGCACAGAAGTTCGCTGTCAGTGTATTCCTCGATACAAGAGCTTTTAATTCTATATCTACGAGCTTTTCTTTGCTGTGCGGAAAAATTGAACAACAGATCCGCCATTTTGTTTTCATAATCTTTATTTTAATCCTAGTTTAGCGATTTAAACCACCTCGCGAGTTGGTTTAAATTTAACCCACTCTTTAACCTTAGGTTAGCACTAATCGTGCTTTGAACGACGCAATCTAATCCTAGATTAAAATTTAAACCTCGATTAGGCGACTTAATCCAGGTTTAGCGTTAATCGGGGTTTTGAACAACCGGGCCCTGGCACCCAGGGTTTTAAGCCTCATGAATAAATTTCATTTAAAAACTGAAGTGTCCTTGTTAGGTATATTTTGACAAATTGATCTGAGTTATACACTTTGATCATAATTTTTACTTCTATGGGATCAAGCAAAGGGCATTAATTTATTTGTTATTATTTTGTTGGTAAAAAAAACATATTAGCGTTGATAATTTTGCAATTAAAGTTGATTGGTTTTACTAATTACGTTATTTTATGCAGAAAGCATTCAGTACCCCTACTGGTGGTTATTCCCCTCAGKAAACAAACGACACAGTGTTTTCAACAGTTGCTAACCGGTTATCGCTAGCTACTTATTCTGCTGGAAAGCTACTTGAGTTGGTCAGTCGACGCGTATTTATTCTGTGAGAAAGTTTTCCAGGTCGTTTGATCCCGTTGAGTTCCTGTTGATCTGTTGTTGCTAGCTCAAAAAGAAATAACAGGAAACTTAAGGTAAGGCCTTGCACACTTTAATTTATCGATATACATTTAGTTCTTTGTTATAGTAAGACTTTGACTTAACGGCACGTGTCCTATTTTAGAACAAGCCTTCTCAAATGATCTCGACTACTTTTAGTTAGTATGTATATATATATATATATTGAATCTTTAAATCAGTCAAGATGCATGCTTAACTACTCGTAAATACGTCTTGGTAACCATGTAAACAGAAGGCCTTTTTATCTTATGCGGTAATACCGATTATCCACTGCTTATAAGGACAGCAGCAGATTAGAACATTTACGCAAATATTCTGTAAGTTAAACGACACAAATAGAAAAAAAAAAATCAAAAGCTAAGGTAATTTTGCAACAATTTTGACGAGAAAGAATTGAATGGAAAGAACAAAGCGATTTAGATAAATATTCATGAGCATTTGTATATTTTGGATTTCATGATTTCAAAATCTAATAGGAAATTGTTTTATGAAATTCTTTGAAGCCACATCGATTTACCTGCCAAAAGGAAACAAAAGTTTGGTGATAAATTAATTATTGTCGTAAAATTTCTGATGATCATGCGGCTGTATGAGAACTGGCCAAAACAAATAAGAAATGGCATTATATGAGAAATTACATTTTTAATACGTTATACTCACCTGTGTTTGCTTGGGATACTTGGGATATATATATCCTTGTTGAAGCTATACTTGCAAATTAGAATCAGACTAGTACCATATGATATGCAAATTGGCGTCAATCTTGCAGAATGACTCCCTACCGTCACCGCTCCTCAAGTTTATTTTATTAATATTTTTAGCACGTTTTTTCTCGTGCTGGTACTTTTGCAAATTGAAAAACTAAAATTCAGTCATGAAAGAGTATGTAGCTTTAGTACTTTTGTTACAAGCAAAAAATTGCTAAAAATTAAAGTTACTAAAGAAAAAGAATTAAACGAAAAAGAACTATCATTCGTGCATGTGGTAGGAAACGATGTTCTGTTGACTGCCTGAATCATCCTATATAACATATCTGATTCCATAAATATGATTAGTATACTTAACTGGCGAATGAGAACTAACTTGCCAAGACCGAGAACGCAAGGGGGCCTAGATATCAAGAATCGACGCCCCTTTTCATTTCAGGCGCCTGGGATAACTTAGCTTCCATCTTGTCGCATAATTTGAGCAAAAACTGCATCAATGAGTTCTCTAGTTATATATAACATTTGACATGGTAACTATACTTACTTAAATATGATTATGTATGCTTTAGTCGACAATATTGTTGACTACGAACTTCGAGTGTCGTCACTGTAACAGTCACATGTGAGACCTATGACAAACTTTTAGTGAATCATGCTGGTGAACTGTTGTAAGCGTTGTATTGATCGCTCATCACTTTTACTCTTAGTTTAACATGGAATACATCTACACATGAGATCCCAAACAAACTGCATGCTGTCATTACAATACTGACTGATGGATCATGCGCTGATTATGGGATATTCAAAATTGCTAAAGAACACCGGTTTCAAATCTAACATGTTCAATGAGTTTAATCTATTTCGTTATATAATTTTGATAAACGTTCTACGAAACGCATATTTATAGCTTATTTTTCTTGAAATTCAAAGAAAGCGGCTTTGCCACAAACCCCAATATTTCGGCTATCATCAAACTCAATCGATACTGAATATACATATCGGTGTTCGTAATGTTGATCATATGATTTTGTTTGAAAAGGTTTTTCGTTTATTGTTATTCATAAACCTGTATATTAACATTGAAGACAGGTGTATTGAACCGCCCTTATATCGATGATATCCGCGGTAACATTGCTCTTCCTCTTCACTTACAATATTCAACTGCCGTGAGATATTCGTTTGAGAAGTCTTCTAATCTGCCCAACACTTCTAATTGTGCAGTGGTAGTTCCTAAAGAAAACAGAATTTCAATATCAAAAAAAAAAGGATAGCCGGTAAAGTCTAATGTGCAGTTAAAGAATACTGAACTAAATCCTGCATGTAAGTCATAACAACTGTTAAAATATTACATTGTTATCTATTCTTGTATCATCTCATCATCACTTGGAATTTAGAATTGTTTTTTATGGAAAAAGTTATTCTACACGATATATCATCACATACATCGTATACGTACGAGAATACTAGTTTGTTTTCAGTTTTGCACTGACTAGGGCTTGACATTTGATTTGGTATTTTTAAAACAAAATCTATTTTTGATTAAAAACATATCGAATATAAATTTTTACTATAGAAAAGATCGTGGAATGATTTACGTGACATGTTAATATATTTATTTTCACACAAAGAAACAGGTTGTTTTGTTGCTGCTTTACTTAGTAAGAATACGCGTCAACTAACACATATCAGCTGCTTGACGGCAAGTGCTGGAGATTGAATTTCTCTACCCCCCCTCCCCCCTTCCTCCCGGCTCTCTCCCTCTGTCTTTCAACACGCACAATAGTTGCCTCGCATGACGGTACATTCTACACTACACGACATACCCCGCATCTCCAGTGCAAAACGTATCATTTACGACATCCGTATACTCAAAGGGTTTAAGAGTTAAGTTCTAGCTTTTATTTTTGAAGGCTGCGCAATTCACATGCTGGGTATTCGTATTATACCCATTAACCGTGTTTGCTTAGTCAAGAAAGAAATCGAGTCAGTCACATTAGGAAAATGCAAATCATAGATCGCTTCGTTCTAAAATGTTGGTTAAGTACGATTCTCACCTAAGATAGATGCATCAACTCCATGCATGAACAATACTAAAATTACCGCCCGTGAGCTGACTAATATCTTCAGTAGCTGAAAAACGATCCCAAAAGCTGAATATGTAAGATTTTACTGTGCACAATTCACTATTCGAATAATAAAAAATTATATAAGGGTAAGCGACGTTAGTTTAAGCCTGGTTTTAAGTCAATTTATTGTTATTAATGACTAGTCGCCAGGGATAAGATATAGGACTTCAAATATATCCATATAAATAAAATTTGTGTATCTATAGAAAAATAAATCAAATATTCAAATTGCTTTTTTGCCCTTGCGATTTTATGTTTTATCCTACTATATAGCTTGTCCAGTTTGTTTTGCTCTGTTTGAATAAATCGGTTTTTTATCTTTTTTCCTGTTTTAAAGTGGGTTTGGCTTTTGTTTGTAAACGTTTTGTAGTTCTTTTGTAGCCAGGTGATCGCGCAATATAGATGTATTGATGGATGGATGGAGTATGAGCTTGGGTTTGGCGGTGGATATATCCCCTGATGAGTTCGGGTCATTATGATCCATTATGCTGCCAGATATCTATAGAATACCATATCAAAGAGTCTTGATTGCCTGTCAGATCTCATGATGAAGATTGTACCTTGCTTTAGCTCACTCGGTCTTGGAATTATTCAGTATGAGGGCAATAATTTGGATTTTATTCATAAGAAATTTGATTTTCGTTTTCTAAATTTACCTTGACTGTTTCTTTAAAAAATAAAATTTGGCCATGTGTCCCGGCCCACGGCAGATGAATGCGAAATAATCCATACAAAACGCGATGTTAAATAAATTAAAGAAAACCTTATATACTGTATGACAGCCAAAGGCAGTTTTCATGCCATTATTGATGGGTACTTTATATGATAGTTGTAAAAAGTAATCCCAGTTGATATTGGAGCTATCTATGTTATAGAACACAATAGCTGAGGCCACACTGAGAGGTTCAATTATAAGTAATGACATGGTATTACTTTGCAATACCATGATCACCGAGGAAATAAGAAAAAAATTGCGGTTTTATAGATGTTCAGGTTTCTAGGTCACGGAAGCGTAAACAACGAAAGCATCCACAAACTCTCATTAGCATGCATGAAATGAAAATATGGTTTAAAAGTAATACCATGGCACGAGGGGAATTAGTGATTAAATTTCCCCGAATAGCGAGGGAAAATTTGTGGAATAAAACAAAAATAAAATCTAAAAACAAGTTGTCATTTTCAATTTATCTTATGACTGAGCATGCGCAGATTTGAGAACGCGTCCCACATGGAAACTGTGCAGTAATATCATAAGTAGGATACGTAATCGATTCAGTTGCAGGGGCATTGAGTTTTCCCTAAGGAGACGAGGCATATAGAACGTGAGGGAAATTTAGAAGACAATGAAATCCTTTGTCTTTTTACTAAATTTCCCTACATTTAATATATGCAGTAATATAAATATAAGAGTAATTTAAGAAATCCCAATCTCTACTAAAAATTTAGATTCAATCAAACTTTAAACAAAAAATCTTAAAATACATTTAATACTTGTCCAAATGGATTGATTGTCTAAGAGTTTTACCAAGCTCACTTTGTTCTTCCCTGCTAGCAGAGCCTATTTTCCTTTTGTTTTGGTTGTGAGAAAAACAGACTCTGCCAATGTAGGAAGTTATACTTGTCGCGCTTGCGTGGCGTAACTTAGCAACGCTGTCATGATTTTGACAGCCGCTCTCGTCAAACAACGTTTGGCGCGACGGTGTGTTACATTTGCTCATGCGCACAACATGTATTCGGTTAAAAGCCAGTTTTAAAACTGGTTTCGTTTGTCCGAGATCGTGGACGGCGGTGTATCAAAGGAAACGCTCTACATCGGCAGTCTCCTTCCTCCCCGCCTGAAAGAAGGGAGAGAAAGAGAAGAGAGACTCTGCTAGCAGGGAAACTTAATCTGCAAGTTTAAAGTAATGCAATAACAGTAAGCTTTCACTTGTTATTGCATATCAAATATAAACAATATTCATTAACATATCCCATTATATTTATATCTATGTTTATTGTTCAAAACAATTTAGTTTAAAGCTTGTGTAAATAGTTTGCTATATTCTTGGTCATAAAAAGTTAACCTTACAATGGGTGGTTGTCGACTCGAAAGTTTTAACTATTTCGACAACCACACACCATAAATTAGCTCTTTCTCTTACAATTAATTTAGTTTCAACTTTCTTTTCATTATTCATTAATATTACTCCTGTGAATACTTGAATAAATGTTATGCGACAGGGAAATTTAGTAGAAAAGACAAAAAAATTCTTTGTCTTGAACTGACTCATGCTCTATCCATGCGGGAAATTCGGGTTTGTAAAGGCCTTGGAAGACAAAAGAATCCGAGATGATCATGGTATTACTACAATTAAACTTTAGTTTAGTGACGTAATTGCAACTGACTTTTTACTTTAGTTTTGGTAATTAAATACACAGATGGTCACATTTACGGTATTAACTGTAGTTGTCATGACTTTGAAAGGAATGCCTGCTGTTTTTACAAGTCGTAGTGCTCGATATGGCGACTGATAGAAAACTCGTATTTGTACTGCTTTTGACATATAATAAAAAACCACTACATGCACCCATCGACACTAATCGCACGTGACAAGGAGTGTTCAAATAGAGCTGCGCACATAACGACACAACTGAAACTGAAACACTGATCGGTGCATGCATTAAGTCTGTATGCAGATTAACGTCTTTGTTCACTGGAAAGATATCCATATTTGCGTTTCAATGACTTTCCTGGGGGGAAAAATGAAATAGATATACAAAAAAATATATTTATAATTGAGATTTTGGTGTATATATACACACACTCGGGTGTAGGTTGTCGTATACACTTATACATATATAGAAATACCTAATTACATGCAAACTGAAACATTAAAAATATTAATGGATATGTGCCGATGTATATTTGAGAAATATAAAACGCGCGCATGTCTCTGTACTGTGATATAAACCCGGCGTTGGGCTGTATATAAACAAAAAATGACATGAATAAAGAAGTTGTCATTCAACAAACTCAGTTTTGGTTTCAGTTATAGAATTGGTTCAATTTCTTCAATGACCTTGCTTTAAGCCAGTTCCGTTGTGTATTCTAACTGACTCCCTCGGGCAACATTAGCTAATGGTTTTTGAAGAAGAAAAAACAATAGACATTTTCATTCCCACTTCCTGATGGAGTATGTCTTCATTACATTACCAAATTACCATTAGCTTTTAATAAAAACGATTGGACGTGATGATCCAGAAGATTCTTTTTGCAAAGTCACTTATTACAGAGACTACGAGTCCTCTATTCATAGCAGCATTTTGATTGTATACAGGCTGGTTGCTACTGATATTAAAATCATGTAGTCAGTTCAAGATAATATATTCCATATAGAATCTCATAGCAAATCTTAAATGCGTGCGCTGATTGGCTAGAGATGACGTATACAAGCGGGTATTGGCACGTGGAATCGCATGAAAAATCAGCAAACCCACTTTAGATTTTGCTTTAAATCGTTAATGTTTGGCCATTATATTCCATCAAAACACCAAATTCGTGCAATATCGGTTTTCTCGTGAAAGTTCGTGGAATCCCCTAGACAGATAATACATTTTACTATGAATGATATACTCTGAACGCAGGTATACTTATAAATATGCTTACAAAATGTCATGGCAACACATGCACTAACTGGTGTTTAATATGTTCAAGAAATTTCTAGTATTTCTTTAATTTTGTATTTCATTACAATATGTCTGCAAAATGTGTAATATACACTCAATTGAAGAATCGTTGTCGGGTTCAGAAACATAGAACATAAAAGCTGAGACCGAAATGGCACATGGAAAATGACATGATTATATTATAATTTATTAATTTGTGCCATCCATGCAGTCGGTTCAGAATGCCAAACGCGTGGATGATGCCACGGGTCGCCGGTCACAGCATGCATCTAATCAACGTACTTCCCATGTGCCATTTCGGTCTCAGCTTCTATGTTCTCTGTTTCTGAACCCGACAACGATTCTTCAATTGAGTGTATAAGAAACTCGCCACTTAATATATAGGATAGCATATTCGCCGATATTGTTTTTAAAGAAGATAGTATAACTGAGAAAAAATATTATGCTGTTAACTTGACTTATTTTATCAATACTTATTTCCGTATGAACCAGCCGGAGGCAAATCACTTCTTGTTTGAAATTAATTATTTCAGTGTCTAAGTATCCTAAGTAGCTTTGTAGTTAATAGAAAACTGAAGTTCTGATTGTGTTGTTATGTTTTATCATTTAGGTCAGCGGTTACTGAATACAGCCCAGAAGAGTGAAGGGACCAATTTCTGTTTCAGACATGTCGTCTGATGCTACTTCATTTTGAATGCCACATCAGATAACTGAAGCTTACAAATACAAATAGACCGCTCTTTTTTCCGTCTCGAAGATATCTTCTCCTAGTTGAAATCATGGGTTGTGGTTCATCTGCGCACTCAAATCTTCACAAAGACCCTATATCCATCCCGCTGTCAACTGCACAAAAATACCTTGTACGAGAGACTTGGGAAACCATCGATGCTCAAAAAAAATCCGTTGGGAAAAAGACGTTTCTAAGGTAAGTTTTTTTCAAAACTAATTTATACAACACACATTTATTTAAGCAATTCTTCGTAAAAAAAAGCCCACAGCAAACCTCTTATTTGATCTATCTTTTGACTGTAAAACTCGATTTAACAAATAAATTAACCAACACGCAACCAAGTTCAAATTAAAGAAACAAAAGATCGGAAAACAGATCGGCGCATGACCGAGCCGAGAACTGGTTTTGCGATATTGGTAGGCTTTACTAAAAGGAGAGTTTCGTTCTACCAAACACTAATCTCGACTACTCAAACGAGATGGAATTCAAAAGTACTTTTTTAATATCGAGCATACTTTCAGCAATATTTCTGATCTTCTTTTTTACATATTAGACAAAACCGCTGAATAAATCTAAAAATAAACCATCCATATAAAAATAGCGTTGAGTGATAATAAATTGAAACGAAAAGTCATAAGTAGAACCTTCAATCAGCGTTGTTACTGTCGTTTAGATTCAAATGATCATTTTATTATTTTATATATTTACCTGCGAGGGTTTTTCTCGTCATGATGAATAACTGGATGGGAATAAAGTTGCTCTTAGTGTTTTACCGAACTTTGACAGCAATTTATATAGTACTCATCATTCATTTCCTGGGACGAAGAGCATCTCTTACCCGGCATAAACCGCTGAGTGACGGCCTTGAAACCATTCGACTGAAACTAAACATCATTATGCGAGTGAATGCGAATATCTGATCAATGTAGTAAAACAGACTTATTCAAGGAAGGGTAAAAATTGACAAGTTCAAGTCTTTTGAATTTGAATGTGAAGATAGGGGAAAGATAGGGTCTATTGACGTTTTTCACGATCTCGTCATGCTATCGAACTTTGTTTTTGTTTTATCAGAAAAAAGAGTTTGCAGTCCAATTTCATATAGTTCAATTACTAAAGCTGCAAAATTTCGTGAAGATTGTAATCCATCCAGAGAATGAACGAATCTTTGAACCTTACAACTCACACAAAGAAGAAATGCCCACGCGAAATTTGCCTTCATGTTTAAAAAATCATATCTATGATCGATAGTATGCTTGCGATCTGTGTTCGCAAAACTTCAAAGTTATAATAACATCTCCATGACAGTCTTGAATATCAACACCGTTTTCAGCTTTAAAAAATCTTGCTATTTTCATACGTCACATGAAAAACGTTTCTATGATTATTCTTAACATCAGTATTTTTAATTTCTCCTCCTTTTTAGTATATTTTTTTGGTCGCTAGTCATGGCATATTCAATGCTTTTAAATTGACAAAACCTTCGAGAAACAGTTGTATCAGTCGCACGACGAAAACAGCTCTGAGGAATAAGTATCTTATAGTTTTTATCACTACAATCATTACAGTTAAAAAACAGTAGAATGGGAATACTAACTAAGCTACAATTATATCCAAAACTTTATTTGAATAAAGTGATGATGTTTTTATCTATTTATTATAACCCTCCATATGGCTTTAATTCTCATTGTTATGTTATTCATTGGTTTCTTAAAGCTCGCAGCGATTCTGCTGTATTCCAAGACTAAACATCTATAGCGGTACCCTCGGCAATGCAAACTTTCCTTTTCTTATTAGTACAAACTTGAGGAGCTTATTAACCGGAGGGTATAACTAGCACCCCTATCTCTAGTTATCATTTTCAGTGGACTGGTCATTTTTAGATTGGTATAATAATAAGACCCCACCAGCCATGAGGATCGAGGGTGATAGGTAACAAGTGCCAAACAACAAAGCATCCCTTATTAGTTCCTCTTGTTCATTCCAACAACATGGCAGCTATATCTTTGTTTTTTTTTTGTGTGTGTATTGTTGGGTTTTTTTGTTGTTGTTGTTGTTGTTGTTGTTGTTTGTTTTTTTTTTGACAAAACTGTTAGGGCAAGTCGTCAGCAGAGGCAAAGAATTGCTTTTGACACTAAAAATCACGATATTTTGTGACGACCTTGTTCAATAATCGTTTAATTATTGAAATTATTCCCCCCCCCCCCCCCCGCGTTTTCTTGTCGCATTTTGGCTATTTTTGCTGTCTATCAAACAAGTTAGCCATGTTGACAAGTGCATCATTACTGAGCACGAGCAGAGTTTTGGAGCAAAACCGCACTACATCATAATGCGCATGAGCAGAATATTATTTGCAGGTAGATATTTGCGGTTGTCTCGGCCAATCAAAACGACGGAAAAATTGGAATGATAACAAATAATTATTAGTGATGCTTGATGTTTTCCCTTTAGATTCTTCGATATCAATCCAGACTTTCATTATTATAGATAGATAGATAGACAAATTCAGTACCCTTGGACTGGGAATCAAAGGATCAAAATCCTTTTGGATAAAAATAACAATAAGACAGCCGCCATGTTGGTTGATCTAAGAGAAGATAACTACAATGAAGAGCTAATCATAATGAGGAATGAGAATTATTTTTTAAGTCAATTAACATGGGGGCAATGACATATAACATGCACCGCAAGAATTATTCTCAGAGTTTAGGGACGCTTTCTCTTTTAGATTCTTCGATATCAATCCAGACTTCCAGAAACTGTTTCCTGAGTTTGTGAACCTTAAGCGAGAAGAGCTTGAAAAAGCCAATGCTTTACATGGACACGCTAAACGAGTCATGAAGGCCGTGGAAAATGCTGTTACAGCCATGGATGATGCGGAGAGTTTTGCTGCATACCTGGAGGGACTGGGGCAGAGACATATTGCACGTGCTCTTAAACCATCTTATCTTGATGTAAGTTAGTTTGAGCGATTAACGGACGGGAAGGGAAGAGATGGGGAAAGAGAGGGTCGAACTCATTTAYCTTAAATTAACGACTGCATGTTTGAATGAGTTCGATAACTTTAGCCAAGTGTGAAACGAGTACGTTTTTGGCTGATAATTCATAAATGCATACCTTGAAGCACGTGAATGGACATATTCACGAAGCCTAAGGACGTTAAAAAGTCATTGGTATACTTTGCTTACCAAGACTCATATACATGTCTTTTGAAAAAGGGGGAATCAAAAAGCAATTGAAGTCTGAATGGTGTTCAAAGGGAATTGGTTGAGCTATTAAGAAGTACTAYTATTTACATAGAACAACCACTAGTACAGACTAATGCGTCCAACTGGTACAAGTACCGATTGGCGCCGGTCTATAATAGAGATGTCTATTTTAAGCGTCTATTAGTCTGTACTATCCTAAGAACTTCTCATGATAGCATTATTAGCAGTCTTAAAAAAAGAGCTAATACCTATATTGAACCAATTAACCAATGAAGGCACGTGAGTAACTGATGTATCACTAATCTATCACCAAATGAGCATGTGGAGTTATATTCTTAGGTCTCAGGTGGTTATTTACTATTGAGGCAGCTGGGCGGGTTACATGACTGCTGCCTTTGCATGGATTGACAGTAATTTTCCTATCTTTGAGTGACACACAAAAGATAACTTGACTGTAAAAAAAGAATAATGATTATTGTTTGTAAACGATGGGATTTGAACTGTCCACCTCCTAATTAGCATCCGCAGAAGCTGAGGCACCGTACTTACTTTGAAAGTGTTCTATGCTGCCCATTTTAGGCCAATCCGCCCTTATAATGAACGGATTACGCGGGATAATGTTTTAGTCCGATGACGTCATTAGGGGATACACTAGCCGGCCCCTATCCAGTCTACAGCTAATCCCTTTCACTATCTGCAATACACTTTCGATTTGAGGTAGAAAATAACTGATCTAGTGCCCCGGTGCATTGTTTTGATGGCCATATATTGTTTTGGTAATTTCTTTGAACTGTGGCCCATTTGTGATAAAACTTGGGCTACCAAGACACTGGTTCAAGTTATGCATGGTTTGAGCCTGGATATGTCATTTGTCACTAGCTTATAACTACTCAAGCTTATATTTTTTGTGGTTTTTTCTCTTTCGTTTTAAGATACTTTGATAGATATAGAACTTTAAAGCTTTTGCTCTCAATTCGCCATATCGTCATAACTCCCGATTAGTACCCAGCTCTCCATTCGTTCCTGTCAAGGGTAATTTAGAATCAAATTTTTCAACTTGCTTAAAACTACTATCTACTTATACACTTTTGCCTGATTAAGTATTTCTGCTACTTCCGACCTAAATCAAGGCAAGGTTCGTCCGTGTTTTCTGTCGTGTGTGGTGATAATTAAGTCGGATGACTAGCTAAATTATTGTATAGTCAATAGACCCTTCTCAAAATTGTCTTGAATGCGAGGCTAACACGGCTACAAAAGAAATGCCACAGATTCCATTTAGTACAGAAGGGTTTCTTTTGTATGTTCATGTTAGCCTCGCATTAAAGACATTTTGGAGAAGGGTCGTCCGCTCCATAGACCTTTTCAGCTTAGGCGTAATGTTTTTCCAATTCAGCGTACGAGTCATTCTCTAGATTATCATTTCTTTTTTTAACGGTTGTGCATCAAAAGACACATGAATATGGATACAACTCAAATAAGAATGATATCAGCCCTAAGAGAATGACAAGTGGTCTAAAATGGAAAAACATTACGTCTAAGCCGAAAATGTTTATTCTCCAGTGACCTCTTATTTATCTTTCTACTCAGTYATCAGTTTATGAGAGAGGGTGTGGATGGGTATTCCCGATTGTTAGTAAACTACTAATTTTTAGGCCAATTGTCTGTTAATTGACATTATTACACATTTTACTAAGTATCTCAATTCTGATTGGTCAAGAGCCCTCAGCCAATCCCTGATATCCTGTGAACTCGACATGATAAATGTATTATCTGTAGGTTTTCCTACCGATAATACATTTATCATGTCCAGTTCATTCGAGGTCACGCTGTGGTAGCTTTGTTTTTATTCATCATGTGTATTTATTTCCAGAATTATGTACAAAAACAACTATTTAAGGAATCCTGAACTTATTTTTATATATTATATGAAGAATTCTCGAAATTTTTCTGAATTGAGAATTTTGCGTTTTTCACCGTGACATCATGGCGTTCATATTTCTTATCTCTACAATTTAATGTTCTTGTTAATTTTTTTCCAGTATACAAAATGTATAATAAAGCAATTATTGAATTCGATTATTGCATGATATCGTAAATTTCAAGACCGAGGCTGTGTTAATATCTGCATCAGCCTTCAGCCTTGGTCTTGATAATTTACGATATCATGCTCAACCTCATCCAATAATTGCTTAATATTTTTACAAGCGCTGACCATAATATTAACCGAAATAATGAAATATCAGTCAACTGTTATCTAATAATATTATGTTATTCACGTAACGCATTCAACTGTGCCTTCCTTTTACAGTAAAAGAATATTGTATATATTGTATTCCAGGCAATGCAAGTGGCTCTGATGGACACTTTACAAGATCTACTGCAGTCACAATGGACTCAAGAAACCTCAGAGGCTTGGAATATTTTGTTTAGGTTTATTGCAGATACAATGAAGAGAGGGCTACAGTCTAACAAATAGTGTTGTGACTCTGAAGAGGGTGTACACTTTGATATAGTCTTCTGTAAAGGTAATTTGACCATTTCTCCAGCTAAGGTACCCATGCAAACATGCCTCACGTAGTCAAACAAATGTTGTTGTTTTTTTTCACAGTTTCTATCGGACATTAACGTAATGCTACCATTTCGATTCACACTCTACCACATTTTTAATTCATGTAATGATACCTTTTCACATTTTCAATATTTCACGAAATTCGGTTTTTATGGAATATCAGAATGCCACTTATAAGAAAACATATATATAGCAGGGCAACTTCCAGACCTATGTGCAATTACCAATTGCAGCAACACGAGAGATAATAGAGAAAAGACAGAATTTATATCATGTTTTGAGAATGAATTCGTACCCAATCATTTCCGCTAAGCACTGTACTGAGGGTTAGCATCGAATAGTCTTGCCTAACGCGGAACAACAAATTAAAAACAGTGTTGTTTGTGTTTTTTACAATAACTTACAAATTTCTCGCGCGCTGATTGGTTATTTTTTATCATCAATAAGAGGACAGACAGATAAAGCTGACATCAACGAGCGCGCGCTCTTTCCGTTGGTTGTTTTGATCGCTAAAAATGAAATGTTTTTATCGTTTTTGTTATTGTAGAAACAAATTGACATCAGTTTTTTATGTGTCTATCCTCTTATTGAATATAAATTCCGTCACCACATTGTCAAAGTAGTATGCGAATCTACTTTGACAATGTGCATGATGAAGCAATTTATCGCCTGCCCGAATTTACATTAAAAGGTAATTTATTGTACGTCATAATTTGTTAGAAGGGTCTCGCAAATGTAAATATAAGCATGTGTATTATTGTGTATATAAATGGAACTGATGTGCATTCCTATAGAACAGTGACTGTCAAAGGATAGCAAATGGACTAAAATGATTTCATATTACTGATACATGTAATGTTAATTATAACATAGCCATTATATAACGCGCGCTCTGATTGGTTATTTAGCGTGCGCGAGCATCCAAAAATGGATGGTGCACGCTGACGTGATTGAGTAGCGCGCACTATGTATAATGAAAATTTCGTTAAAGAATAATATTTGAATTTTTTTGATCAAATAATTCTTTTTTGTACGGTTTTGCTTTATGTTGTAAAAGTAATCGTCAATGCTTAGTTGTGCGTATATCCAGTTCTGGAAGCACTTGGAAGGTTGCTTAAACGCTCAAGAAGCAAGAGTTGCACTCGGATACGCCTCGTACGACACTTACGCTTCTTTAGTTCGTGGTTAGCAACCTCCAGCGTGCATCCAGAACTGGATATACGCACAACTAAGCACCCTAAGCATTGACCATTCTTTAAATATTTGAGTATCATTGTAAAACAAAAAGGAATTGCTAAATATCGTTTGTTGTTGATGGTGGTTTGGGTACTCATTCTTTATGAGGCCTTTTAGGCGTATCACTTCCCAATGACGCGCACGAAATCGTACCTTCACTGCGACGTAGTAAAATTTATTGAACGTTAATCAAGATGTTTTTACTGCATTCAATAGAAACTTGCCGTTTCAATTTTTTTTGTTTTTCGACGATGTTATGGAAACATATTGACTTAAGTCCACTAAAACCCTATTTGTTGCGATGGCAAATGGCAAATGCATGATTTCGCGCGTGTGGTTGGTAAGTAGGCGATAGAAATGCAGGTATTTCTAGGGATGGTCCTCCATTCATTTAATCTTATATGGCTGTTGCTAAACGTGACTTCATTCACGTTTGAATCTCCTTTCCGTTTCGCTACAGTATATACACGATGTTTGTTTAAGTAGATAGGATGTTAAGTGGTCTATACAAAGGGCTTTGATGTATGAGTCCCACGTTTGTTTTCATGAGTTCTGACATGTTTTCTTAAGTTCGAAGTACTATCAACGGTAGTGCTTGCATTACCAGACGGTTACCTTTCGGCTTGTTTGATGCCAATACCTGAGCGATAAGAAACAAAACTAAATTATACTAAAAAGATCCTTTTAGACAAAAAATATTTAATGTAAACAAGGAGAATCCAAGATGGCGGCCGATAAAAACATTTGAAACTTGTCCTTTTACTGATTGTGTCAGTGATCATGACTATGATGTTTCCAATTCCCCAAGAGGATTCAAATTTGAACTATCCCAAAATTAAATAATTTATCCTGCATAATCCAATCAAATGAGAATCCAACAGTCGCTAGATAAGTTAATATTTCGTATCCACTACGTTTATGATAATTTTAAATAAATAAATATACATATATATATATATATATATATATATATATACAGATAAATGGCTTTGCTACAAAGTTGGGCTGTCAGAAGAAGTGACAGCGCCTAGTTATGAACAATCTAAAAAAAATTTGGCAAGCATTATCTCTAATTAGTAACTTTACATTCAATGAACTGTCAGTCATTTTTTTGCCGATATTGCCAAGTTTGAAATACCAATTTAGTAATTGTTCCATAAAATATAACCCCATCACATGAAAGAACAACGAATGATAAGCTGGTTGACCAGGTTTTAGGATGTTTAGCCTTAGAGAAACAATAGAGAGTATTCAAGATTACCAGAAGAGATTTATGGTGTCCAGCCAAACCGCGTCCAGCCAATCATACAATATCTGTATTTTTACAAATTTTTAAAAATATCATTCATCATGTCGTTACAACTTGCCAAAACTAGATTAATTTTTCATTTCTTACTTATGTTTATGTGATCTTTGTTGTGGCGAGGTTTTTGTTTTTGAATTAAATTAAGTTTGAGAAACCTGGTTCCAGTCCCCTGCTCGTTTAGGTAAAGGCTAATCAGTTGTGTCATGTTGTGGAGAAATTAAAATACCTGCAATTTGTTATCATGTTACGCCTTGTATTGCTCTGCCAATACTTGCTTGCTTTGCAATACTTTTAAGATAACGTTTTGCACGGCTAGCTCCGTTTGTTATTTTGCCTTCAAAAGGTTTTAAAAGAACTTGTTCAGTTAACGTGGGAGTCTGTTTATAGCATGGTCATTTCATAAGATGATGAAGAGTCCCTCTTAACCGAGGCCAATTAATAAAAGTGTGCCATCCTGGGTTATTTGCCCAATCAACTACCAGTAACCAATTGGAACACTAAGTAGATTAGTCATCGAAATATTATAATGTTTCTCTTTGGAAAAGATCAAAAGAAGATTTTTTGACTAGAGTTAAATATTTACATATGTATTGTATGTATTTGCGTCTGAATTCTCCCATCAAAGACTAGAAAATTATGTCTGACTGAAAGGTATATTTTGACGCAATGGAGCGACATTGACTTCCGAGTAGTATCTGCAGCTCAGCCAATCGCCTCTTCTTATTTGTGAGAATCTCTTAAGATTAAACCAAAAAATGTAACCACTGACTTTCAACAACATGACTGGCAATTTCTAGAAAACTAAGATTGGTTTCCTAGCAACTGGACAATTTTGTTCTCATTCTCTCTTTATCATCTTAATACACCTGTTGTGTCATATTCGATATCATGCATATTTTGAATTCATAAGGAAGAAGACATGACATGAATCACCAATTCCAAAGTTTGCATCATCTATTCAATAAAGTTTCCTGTCTAAAATAGGGAGGGAGTGATTAACTGAACTATCCTCTGTATTCTTCGATGAGAGTAAGAATAGTCTACGGAGTGTTAGCTGTAAAGTGGAACGACAATTGAAACATGGGTTGTGGTTCATCTACTCACTCAAGACTACATCAGGACTCTATATCCATCCCGTTATCAACTGCGCAAAAATACCTTGTACGAGAGACTTGGGAAACTATTGATGCTCACAAAAACTCGGTGGGGAAAAAGACGTTTCTAAGGTAAGTTGATTTAAAGATATTGCCAAATTGCCTTCCAAGAAGATAATACTGATCTGGGATAGTTTTGTAGCATAAAAAAGATTAAGAATTAAAAAACTTTTAAGTTTTGGTCGATAAAATATTAAGCAAATTTAAGCCAGAGGTTTGGAAGTATTTTTTATTTTTATTCGGTTTTGAACCAAATCAAATATAACTTTATTTTTAAACTTTACGAAGAATAAGTGTAGAGAATTTGATCTTCATGTACTCTGCGTAACACTTTTTTTTTCTTTTCTACTACATAAAGTTTAAGTATATTGAAAGTATATCAGAAATTATGGGATATCCCCCCTTATATTCTGTTTCTTATTCTTTTTCTCTTAACAAATAGAAAATATCATGGATAACATCCCAAAATTTCGGTTTCTGATATACTTCTATTTAAAAGATCAAAGATTTTTGCTTAAGGATTTAAACAATGCAGAACTGAAAATTAAAAAAAACCGTTCTATTTTTATTGTTATTTATAAAAATAGGAAAAAAACTTAATCTTCGATCTTGCAATATCTTTTTATCCCGAGAACTTTGTCAAGAATATTAGGAAGCTGCAAAAATAAAGAAATAAAGAAATAAAATAAAAAATAAAGAAATAATATATAAAGAAATGGCATGGAGGCATTGATTAGATGCATGAAGTTGAACAGCAGGCGCACTGTATAATGCTTCAACTACAAGCTAGTTATAAGTTTATTTTAATAAAGTCAGTCAATCATGACCTGAAAAGCTTAAAAGCTGAGACCGGCGGCCAGAATTATAGGGTAGATACATTTTACATGTTTCGTTCGCTTGATAACTATTGATCGACGTGAAGTCTTAGTTTTACCAGTTACATCCCCCTATTGATTATCCTCGATCACGCTGCAGTTCATATCAAAAGCTTGATTTTTGTTTGAAAAGAAATGTATCCCATGATCCTCAACGGTCTCAGCGCGCTTTGTAGCATTTTGGCAACTATAACTCTCTTGAAATAAATATATCATTATACCATCTCGTATCCACCTTTGCTTTCTAATTCGTATATTGATTGATTGGGGTTTTTAATTTGTTTCGACTTTGTCGTAGGTTTTTTCAATAATTTTATATTTATTGCTTTCAGTGTTTTTCTATCTTTTGTTTATCATGAGTAGAATAAAGTGTTTTTATAAGCACAACGCTCTCAACTCACGTGTTAATCTTTATGGAGGGGGGAAAAGCAGAGAATCTGGAGAAAAGCCTTCTTTGCAAAGGAGAGAACAACGTATACGTCAATAATAAATAGGATATTCTAATATAGACATTAAACTGGCTTGAACCTTGAAAGACATCAAGAAAAAGACAGGAAATATTCTCATCTGATTAGATTAAATGGCTGTTCATAAAATATTCAACATCTGGGTCAGACAAAACTCTTTGAAAATATCTCTTTTGTATTCATTTTTTTCTCTAAGTTTCCGCCGGCATTTCTTGCGCTACTTTCAACTGATAATGTGATCCGGTGATCGATATGGTCAAGGATAATGAACTAAATATGCAGCCTTTACAGCCCTTTACAGTCTCCCAGACCATCTATCTGATCGTTTCGCTTATGCATTCAGTTGCCTGCTTATTAGCGCTTACTTCCTTCCTTCCTTCCTTCTTTTGTACTTTCGCTCTTTCATTTGATTTCTTTATCACAAAAAAATTGCGGAGAATGCACTTTCTRTCGTTGAGGACCGGACGCGATCATCGACTGAAGAGTAAATGATACACAGTAGGTCACCCACTCGTGCCTTCTTTAAGTTAACTGTTAACTAACATTATTACCCTGAGGGTTCAAATGGTCTATTACTGCAAAACGTCATCCGTACGTCCTTACCGCACAAATAAGTCTTTTAATCTTTCTTAACCACCAGGCTTATTCTTACTTTTGATTGACGGAAAACATAAATGAGAAACTAAAAATGAACTTTAACGAACATGCATCGATATAACATTTTGATATTCAGTATCATGACTATATATATTTTGTTTATTTGGTATTATCCGAGTATCAAGGAAGACTTGCTAGTAAAAGCCGTTAGGCACCTTTCACAAATTTATTTCTACATGTATAATATATAATTTTAGGTACTGCCTAAAAGCGGAGCTCCCAATGGGCACAGGGAGCCCAATTTAGATAAAACTGAAATGT